ATGCAATATAAGGGGGTTGGGTAGAAAGGAGAAGGGTATGGCAGTGAGAAGGTTGATTATGGAGAAGAAGTTGTCTTTTGTGTTCATTCAGGAATCAAAAATGGAGACAATGAGCACTATGCTGTTGAGAAGGATTGGGGGGCATATTTACGGGGGGTTGTTGTGACACCTTCAATCGGATCAGCAGGGGGTATGATAAGTTTGCAGGATGAGAATGTCTTCGTCGTAAAGCAACAACAAATTCACAGAAGCTATATTGCAATTTGGGGAGGTTTTAAGGAAGCCAGTGTACAGTGTTGTTTTATAAACATTTATGGGTCGTCTGTGGACTTTTTTTTTTATAAGAATTTCAGGCCTCATTAAAAACTCCATTCTTGATTAATGGAGCTTGTAGGAAAGCTCCTTAATCAGGTCGTCTGTGGACTCAAAAAAGGAAGACTTTTTCATGGAACTTATGTCTTTCATTGGTCAGTTGGATGATCCTTTCTGTATATGGGGTGATTTTAATGTTTATCTGAATCAAGAGGAGAAAATTGGTGTGTCACGGAATTTGCATTCGATGAAGGTGTTTAATGACTTTGTGATGCAGGTGAATCTGGTTGATGTACCTCTATCGGGTGGTCGTTTTATGTGGAGTAATAACCGAGAAGCAAAAACAGAAATCAAATTGGATCGGTTTCTGTTAGATTGTCGATTTGCATCCGCATTTTCAAAACTATCGCAACATTTACTGCCGAAATTGTTATCTGATAATAATGTTATTATGCTTGAAAATAGAGAATAGAATTGGGGTCCGAAGCCGTTTAGATTTTTCAAGTATTTGTTAGAAGAAGAGGTTTTTCAGGAAATGATGGAAAAGGATATAGAGAAGATACAGAAGGATGTGGAGAAGCGGTGTTATGAGTACTCTCAAAAATCTAAAGAAGTCAATAAAAGGGTGGTCAAATAATAATTATTTAAAGTTGTCGGGTTTGATTCTGGATTTGGAAAAGTAGATTCATGAGATGGAGTTGGCATTACAATAGGAGTCGTTGGCATTTTCAAGGGAAGAAATGACAAAAGCAAGAAGGGAGTTGTGGGACTTGTAAAAAAAGGAAAAGCAAATTTGGTTTCAAAAATCTCGGGTTAAGTGGATTAAATATGGCGACAAAAACTCGAGATTTTTCCATCAAAGTATTGCGAATAGGTGCAGAATTAACTCAATCAAGTATCTAAGAATAGAAGACAAGTTGGTTTAGGACCCGAAGCAGATAAAGAACAATGTCTGGGATTTTTTCAAAGCTAGCTATAATCAGAAGAACACTCTAGATGTGGTATCTATGGATCTTAATTTTGCAAAGCTATCGGAAGAATAAAGTTCACTCTTGGAAAGGCCATTCTCGGAGGAGGTATGGGAGGTTATTGCTTCGACAGATAATAATAAAGCGTCGGGTCCTAACGGTTTAAGATGTGCTTCTTCAAGAAATTTTGGTCCAAATTAAAGCTCGAGATAATGAGATTCTTCAACGACTTTTATATGGGGGAGGATTGGGAGAATGGAATAAATCATTCCTTCATTACGCTTATTCCTAAGAAGTCGAGCCTGGAATGTTTGGCTGATTATAGGTCGATCAGTCTTATGGGTGCTCTTTATAATTTTTTATCAAAGGTTCTCGTTAGGAGATTGAGAGGGTGTATTGATGATGTAATAGGGCCATCACAGTTCGCTTTCATCCAGGGACGACAGATTATGGATTGTTATTTCCATGCAAATAAAGGTATAAATTACTGGAGGAAGAAAGGTTTAAAAGGGGTGGCTTTTAAGGTGGATTTTAGGATGGCGTATGACTCTGTCGATCGGGGGATTTTGTTGAAAATTATGGAGAAGATAAGATTTGGAATGAGGTGGTGTTCCTGGATATTTAAGTGCATTTCGTTGGCCTCCATTTCTATTCTAGTCAACAGGTCACCAACGGAAGAATTTAAGATCGCTAGAGGGCTTCGGCAAGGGTATTCTTTGTCACTTTTGTTGTTCAATATGGTCGGGGAATTATTAAACTAGATGTTGTCCATGGCGATAAATTTGGGGTTTTTCTACGGGTTTGAAATCGAGAAGGCAAGGAATTATTTATGTTATCACATCTACAGTTTGCGGATGATTTGATAATATTTTGCAATGCTTCTTTGGGCCAGCTGAAGAATGTTAGTAGAGTGCTACGTATTTTGAGTTAATATCAGGTCTGCAGCTGAATTTGGAAAAGAGCAAAATTGTTGGAATTAATATGGAGGAAATCGATATTAAGGAATTGGCAGATGAACATGGATGTTCTGTGGGGGAGTTTCCGATTGAGTACCTTGGACTTCCCCTTGGTGCGAAATAGAATTCAACGACGCTTTGGGAGTCGGTTGTCCAAATATTCTACAAAAAATTAGACGGGTGGAAAGCGACATCTTTGTCTTTAGCAGGGAGAGTGGTTTTAATCAAATCAGTGCTCAGCTCTTTGCCCATATATTTCCTGTCCATTTTTAGAATACCAGCCCAGGTTTTGAAAAAGCTAAATTCTATTATGGCCAAGTTAATTGGTCAACCATGTGTCAACCTAAAGATTTAGGAGGTTCGAAAGACAAGAAGAATATTCATTGGGTTAATTGGTCAACCTAAAGATTTAGGAGGTCTTGGTATTCTAGATTTAAATCTTCTAAATAGAGCACTCATTGGGAAATGGTCTTGGAAATTTGCGACAAAAAGGGACACTTGGTGGAAAAGATTGGTGTGCAGCAAATATAACGTAGATCCGAGAGCTATTCAGATTGAATTTACAACAACTAACAGGGCATCCTGGATTTAGAAAGCAATACTAAATAATTGCAAGAAGGAGGACGAGTTTCGGCAATGTTTTCAAAATCATTTAAAGTTTCAGGTTGGAAATGGTGAATCTTTAAGGTTCTTGATTGATAATTGGTTGGGTGGTTACCCTCTTAAGGTACAATTTCCGAGAATGTTTGTTTTATCAGTCAATAAGGAGGGAACAATTGTTGAGTTTACAAGTCGGACTCATTCGGGTTAGTGTTGGAACATTCCTTTGAGAAGGAATCTTACTGATTGAGAGGTGGAGTAATGGGTAAACCTAAATTCTTTGCTTCAAAATACTCCTTACGGTGAGGAGAATAAAGATGGATGCATATGGTCGGGGAATGGGGAGGGTATTTATTCACTAAGTCTTGTGTGAAGCTAATGCATGAATGACAGCCTAAAAATTATTTGGACGAAACAGGTTTGGCTCAGGGTGGCACCCCTAAGAGTGGAAACCTTTGTATGGCAAGTAATGAATCAAAAGGTAACTGTTAGAGTGGAGCTTGCTAAACGAGGTGTGGAAGGCTTGGAAGATGTTTTGTGCCCTCTTTGTCGACTTGAACCCGAAAAATGTTTTGCATCTTATGGTATCATGTAAGTTTGTGTGGGATATTTGGCGTTCATTTCTGCGTTATTGAAAAATTACAGCGGTGCTGCCATGTAATCCTACTGATCTAGTAGTGGCTTGGATGGAGTTAGTTTGTTACTCTCAAATGTGGACATTAATACCAGGAGCGATCATGTGGTCGGTGTGGAAGTGCAGGAATGAAATAGTCTTCAAGATGGGTCATTTAGATTCAGTTCAACTGTCATTCCTCATTAGATTTAGATTGGTTTCATGGTTTGTTGCAAAATTTCTAGTGCTAATATGCAGTTTGATGGCTTAGTGAGTGACCCATCTTTGGCAGATATTCATTGGAAAGACAAGAAATTGATATCTTATTCACCTATTTGGTTCCCTCCTCCCTCAGGTTTTTTGAAGATTAATGTTGATGGGTCAGTGGAAAAGGAGTGGCTTAGAGGTGGTATTGGTGTTATTATTCATGATTCGAAGGGTAAGTTGTTGGGATCTTTCTTAGAAAAGGTGGGGCCTAACCCTCCTATTTTGGCTGAACTGATTGCAATTAAAACATGATTAAGTTTTTTCTTTGAGAAGGAGTGGAGATCTAAAGGAAGATTGATTTTGGAATTGAGTTGTTTGAAGGCCTTAGAGTGGATCAAAAATCCTGGTTCTTGCCCAGCTTTATTTGAACATTTGGTATGAGATTTGTGCAGTGGTGGTGAATAAGAATGTAATTGTTAAGCATATTCAAAGATGGTTCAATTGGAAGGCTGATGAGCATGCAAAGTCGGGAATTGGATAATTGTTTGTAGTCTAGCTTACTGTTTTGTTGTGTATAGGATATCTGGGTTGTTTTGTAAGGTGGGGTAAGTCTTGCTAAGTTAGGGATATGGTTTTTGATGAGATGTTAGCAGAGTGTTGGTCATTTTTGAGGTTGTATTTTGGTGTGTATGGTTGTAATGAACTCTTGATGTACTTGGTGTTTATTGAATAAAATTTTGAGGTACTCTTTTCCTCCTTCCAATGTCTGTTAAGCTATATTCATAGCTTTAGGGATATGAAGAGGGATTTTAACGAGACCTCCCATTTTTATCAAAAATAAATGTTGACTAGTGTTCAATGACCAGCAATTGTAGGTATTTAAAAATCTAGCATGACAATGAAGACAACCCTTACCACAATATTTTACGTTTTTTTATTGTTCTATCGAAAATAACATGGATCATACTATGCACATTATAATCCCTTGATAATGATGATTCTCCAACAGTGGAAACATAAAATGTAATACGGTTAGAAAATCAAGTGGTATGTTAACCTGTAAAAAAAAGGAAAAAAAGAAGATAATAACTGTGCGAAAATGCGTATACCATGACATAGTTTTCGCATCTCAATGTAGAAGAGGTAATCAAAGATCATTCAGTAATACAAAATGTTGAAATCGAAGCTATAGTGATATAATCATACAATTGCTTTGTTAGTGACTCAATGAAAAGAAGGCGAACCGTACTAACACAATATTCAAAAAGATTCAAGAGATCATATTTTTTTTCTAAAAAAAATAGCATACATGAAAATTTTAAGAAGAATAACAGTAATAATTACCTCGAGGCTAAAAAACTAAATTGCTTTGAATCTGAAAAGCTCTCGCTATTCCCTCTTAATGTAACCTGAGAATAGTCCAAAATGTCAAATTCCTATAGAAATTATTTTCAGAACAAAAAAAGAAGAAAAGAGAAGTTACAATAAAGAGAAAGAAAATGCTAGAGATAGATTTTACAACAGCGTTTCTACCGTTGGTGTAAAACACTCCAGCTGATCATTAGCCAGAAAACTTGAGAAAACACGTCAAAAACAGATTAGTGTATAAATGCTTTCAACAAAAAAAACAAGATTCTATCTTATGGTTTTCTTTTCAGTCACTTTCTCGGTAACCAAACGGACTTTAAACAAAGGTAACTACAAAACAAAGTTTTAAATTCAGAATCAAAGCAAAATTACAGTTCGTAAAAAACTCAAACTGCATACTATTTCTTTACAGAAAAAGAATCAGCATTCACGTTTAAAGCGGAAAATGCAAGCTAAAAACTAAAACAAACACAGCAATATGATTTCGAATATTTTAGGTTAATAAAAAAAGAACAAATAAAACGAGAAAATTAGATGAAAATAGATCTGCTTCGTTAAAGGAGACGATGAAAACTATACCTGGAGAAGCTAGAAGGTGAAGAATGCGGAGAAGGAAAGAGTCGTAGAGATAGAGAGAGAGAAAATATCTGAATCGGTAGCAAATGAGAGGAGGAGGGAAGAGTAAATGAAGGATGCCCCCACTAAATCTGGTTCTTACGTAATTAATTAAATAATAATATTCATTAATCAACCATTTGTTAAAGCTTAGGCTTGGCTTTTAGAATAATTATTTTATTTCTTTTATAATCTCTGGATTTTTGGAGACAACCCTTGTGTGATTTTCACCTGAATACCGGCTAAGTAGCTTCATTAAGCTTGAGCCGCCATAGTCTAGTGGAAAAAATATTAATTAAATTGATTAATATTATTTTATAATTTAAATTTATTTTAATTTTTCAATCAAATTAAATAAGAATAAATATTTTTTTTAGATTAATGTTTAAATTTGGTTATGATTATTTATAATTTTATGGTATTAATTTATTTTAATTTAAATATTTTTAATTATAAACATGATCTAATTTATATTCTTTATATTTTTCATGTGTATTATAATATTTATAATGTTATTTAATAAATTAAATATTACTTAATTATATGATATATTTATCATATTATTTAAACAATAAAATTTGATGACAAACTATGGATGAAAGTATAAATAAATCAAAGAACCTTTGGGAAGAAATCATTTATAATGAATTGTAGTAAAACGTTAAATTTAATAAAATATAAAATTGAGCGATTAAATTATAAAATAAGAAAATTTATTGTCTAAAAAAATAAAATTACATATGTATTTTACAGTGGTTGAGAGCATAGGTTCAGAATTAATCAAAAATATATTTAAAATGAATGAAAAATAAAAAAAAACAATCAAATCACAAAATAATAAAATTACTTAATTCTAAAGATAAAAATAATTTTGATTTTAAAATTCAGTTTTTTTTATTTTTCAAATTCTTACAATTTATAATTAACTCGAATTCCATATAAATAATTAATTTGAGTTGATTCAAACAAATTAAAATAAAAAATTAAATTTTATTCACCTCTAACATCAAGTTTAATGTAAAGCATTTATTATCATTCGATATGAGATTGGATTGATTTCAATGACTTTCTTTATTTCTTAACATACTATTTTAATTTAGATTAATTATTAATTGTTTGCATTAATTTTGATAAAATGATTATAATTTTCTTATATTATTTGATACTATTTTAAAAAAAATTCATAAATATTTTTAAAGAAATAATTTCTAAGTAAAAAATTAATTAATTATCGCCCTATAATATTTCTAAGTTCTTTTAACTATTTAATATATAAAATTCTTATTTTACATTATAATAATATAAAAATAATCATGAATTAAATAATTATAATTCAGTCCTACTCAACTAATTATTATTTCATATACATAAACCAAACACGAATCAAACGACTTCATTAATTAAGGAAATTACTATTATTTCTAGAGATTTAGATTTGAACATAGTATATGTAGGAATATTTGAGTGTTTATTGAGTATGATGGTTATTTATTTTTTAGAATTGATTTTTTTAATTTATTAAATAATACTTAAGTAAATTTAAATAAAAATAAGCATTAATTTTATCGTTTACCCTGCTTTTTTTTAAAATATAATTTAAAATTGATATTGTGAACTAAAAAATTAAATTAAAAATATTTTATAATCATTTTTGTAATATTGAATTTAAATTAATATACAAATAAATTAAATAAAAAGAGGCATTATGGACCCTGAAGGCACGTGTCAGCGAAGATGATGGATCGACTACGACTAGAGCCATAGAATTTTAGGCTTTGTGACGTGTTGAACCGAGAAAGATGAACTTACGACGTGTCTATTTGAAGTCCCTTAAAATCTCATAGGCTCATTTTTCTTTACTTTTATTTATTCTGGAGTCTCGGAGGCATCGTCGACAAAAAGTCAGAAACTTCCATTTGTAAATAAAAGATTGAGCTGGAAAAAAAAGTGTTTTTCTACCTTTCCTACCTGTCATAGACACGTGTCAGATTTTCGAAATTAGGTTCGGATGTGGGAGGATTAATTTATTGATAAAAGGCTGAAGATATTTAGGAGGAACGAAGATATTTTGAAGGAAAGGTGGAGCCCGTAAAAAGCGATAGTGCCAGCAATTCATAGATAACTAGAGTTAATTTTGTGCCATTATCAGCGAAGTTGGTAAGTTAATCGGCTTATAAAGTAAAATGGCACATTGTAAGATAGAATACAAGGTTTTTCATTGGTTATACTCTAGTAATATATGGGTTGGTTAAATGAATATACAATGAAAATAATTTTCTAAGAAACAATGAGAACTTTCAACAAATAAGAAGAAAAAGAAACAATGAAAAATAGTTAAAATAACCAAATACTTTTTTACTATTTTATTTAGAAAAAATATTTTCAAAAATATTCATGAAACTTTATTCAAATAACAAGGATGATGTCTTAAAATTAACTGAAAATAATTGATTCTTCATTTCCCCCCCCCCCTTCCATTTATCTCTCTTTATTCTTTGTGATATTTTGTTTTGTTTAATTAATTTTTTTCTTTCATGTGTAAATGAAAAAATTATTTGATAGATCCAGCTCACCACGTCATCCGTAATCCTAATAAATAAGAGTCACAAATTTTAAAATAACTTCCAAATAATTATACACTTCTTATTTAAAATAGATGGGGATTCACCCTGTAAAAAATTATATAGATAAATATTATTAGTCGGGACCACGGATAACGTGATGAACCGATACCATCTAATAATTTCTCGTGAAAATGATTGATGTTTTTGTTTGTTCTTATACTATGCATTTTTTTATTTTATTATGATTGAATTTGGTATTCTCTTCGTCGTATTTATTGAACTATCTTATTGATTTATTCATATTTTATACATCAAATTAAATATTATAAGATGTTCACAATCATTAAAGATAAATCATATTTTAATTGTGATAAGGTCAAATTATTAATGCGACATAATTATTTGTGTCGGTGATTTTTATTCTTCACCATTGGTAATAGTTTTATTTGTACATGTCATTTGTCCGACTTATTTGATTGAATTTTAATTATTTTATTATTTGAACTCATCAAGTGACTTTAGATGTTAAAGGGTGGATTGTTCTCCCTAAATGTCCTAGGTTTAAAAAGTTGTATATGTGAGTGTGTGTTATCGACAATTAATAAATATTCTAAAAATATACTACATTGTAAACACCCTGAAGCCATTAAAAAATCTTTTTCTTTTGTATTCTTATTTCATTGTTGGGTAAACGTAACATTATGTATGTTTTCAAAATAAAAATATATAAGTGATCAAAACATAATAAAAGTGATAGTTGAGATATTAAATTTACAGTTTATCCTTTATTAATTGATCAGGGCACTTGATGATTTAGAAAATACATAAGAGAGTTTAAGGAAAGAGAGCATAATTTAAGGTCGAAGAAAGGTGCAACAAAAAATGTTACAAAAATACAACATTTCCGGCTAGACAGAACCTAAAATGTTAACTTTTTCTTAATATTTTCTGTTGAAAATATTCTTTATAACATTTTCGGTTGACAACTGAGAAAATGTTGCCTTCTACATAATATTTTACGGTTCTACTAAAAATGTTAAAAAGTTAATATTTGAAGTTGAGTCCAACCGAAAATATTATGATTTTTATAATACTTTTAATCACACTTATTTTCTATCATTCCTTATCCTTAAATTATGTTGCCGTATAGGAGATATATCCAAAATATATAGACTAATATGATTATTATTTAATAAAGCTATTTACTATTATTAGTTAACAATTGATTGTCTTATTCAAGTTTCAATCAGTATGATTATATTTATAATCTTTTAAAATGAAGCTATTTATTAGAATTTTCATTGTTAAATGATTGAGAGTCTTTATAACAAATATTACTATTTGTAAGCACCCTAAATTAATAAAAAAAATAACTTGAAATATTTAATTTGCAAACAGTAAATACTAAAATAAATAGTTTTTAGGGTAAAGTGCACAAGTGGTCCCTCAACTATAAGATATTACTTTATTGAGTCTCTTGGTTATTAAAATTTACAAAATTATCCCTCAACTATAGGGAGTTACCATGTTGAGTCCATCCACTAGAAAAGTTACAAGATGGTCACTTGACTATTCATTTTATTCTAAAAGTGTCATTCTACGTTAAAAGATTTATAATCACCTGAGTTGGACGTTAACATGTTGATTGATATATAATAGTCATTTGAGATTATAAGATAAAATTTTATCATATCTCGGTCAGTAGGTTATCGTACAACTCAAAATGTCGTCAAATTTTTAACAAAAAATGATGAGTTAATTTTTTTTTTACTTTTAATCATAGGAATTTAGTCATTATACTCTTCAGTTATAAAAATTAATATCCACTAGTTAAAATTTCATGTTAATTTAAAATCCTTTAAAATCTCGTTTTTCTAGTTAAACAATTATCAAGTTGTTATTCTTTGTATTTAAAAATATCATATCAAGCATGAACCGAGCAACCTCAATGATAAAGGAATTATTGTTATTCCTTGAGATCCCGAGTTCAAGCACAAGAAATGCTAGGGGTGTAAGCGTTCAATATCAAATGATTGAAAATTATATTTAAACAAATATTACATTGTACTTATCACAGATTAATAAAAGAATATACAATATCAATAAATTTAGCAAAACAATTTTAATAATATTTAACAATTAAAT